TGATTGGCTAAAGGAGTTGGGAAGATGTTGTCCTAGTTGGTGGACCTTTGCTTGGCTGTTCTGGGAACCTTTTTTCTTCAGATATTATCTGCTGCTACTGTAGAACTCTAACATGGAGGGCTCCGTGGTTTGCTGGTCTCTAGAATATCTTGTGTTTTAATGATCATGATAAATGCTTAAAGAATATAAATATGTTGGTGTTTCTGTGGAATTAATGACTACATATGTCTTTTGATTGGTGTTTTCATTTTAATCATCATTTAAGTGATTTCCCAGTCACAGATTTTGTTTAAAAGCTTGACTATATATAACATCTGACATTTTTTGTTATTATAATGGACTAGGTTTTAAACACTGGGACTACAATTCTACCCAGTGAAAAGCACAGGTGTTCTAACAAGCAATAATAGCAAATAAGATGTGGTGCTTTTATTTTGTAAAACAGTGTGGATGCGTATAGTACACACAAGGATCTAGAATATCAGGCTGTTTTAATGGCAATCAATTTTAGTAGAATTTACTTGATTTAACATCTTCCTTTTAGGTTGGAATATATTTTCTTAAAGAGGATCAGACAAATGACTCATGCTGGGAACAAAGACTTTTAAAAGCTGACAGCTTACTGACAGTTATGATGAGCATTTTATTTCAGACTTATAAAACATATTAATCATGCTTGTTCACAGTATGGTGGTCCAAAGAGGGTTATATTATTTTTGAGAGATACTTTAAGTAACTGAAGAGCACGGTGACACATCTTCCATGAGTACAAAGCTACAGTTTTTTTTTTCCTTCTAAGTGAGTAAATACTTTTCTCAGGTTTAAAGAAGGAAGAGTACTGCAGGAATCTGTTTATTATCAGACTATTTGCAAAAGACCTCTGCACCGTTCATTGAACTTTGAAAAACACTCGAAAATATGGGTTGCATTTGCAAACTTCAGTGTATGACACGGAAAGCTGGCAAGCTGCCTGGCTTCTACTTAAAGAATTGTCATTCTGGGAAAAATAAATTTCTCTAACTAGACAAAAGTCAATGTTTTCATGTTTTACTGCAATCAAACTGATAGAGCTGACAATTTAATGTCTCAACACTTAAAATATCTGTGGATAATCAGTTACCTCAATCAATCATAAACACAAATCCTTCTATTTTTGAAGCTTGTGTGTCTGTGACTAAGATATAAGACAGTTGGGTGAGCCCCTTCCCCCACAACACCTTATCATCTACCCTCCACCCCCCGCTAGCCTCCTAATATTCCTGATTTGTCTTTAGCTATGCAGATATTTATGCATCTGGAAATAACTTTTAACAACTCAAGTGTGATCAAATTTAGAAACTTTTCTTTCACTGTCCTGTTTTATTTAATTTTTATGGGTAGTTTGTAGACGGTATGCCTGTCAGAATAATGTGGAAGCATGCTGGCATTCCCGCTGAAGACATCATTATGAGTGAAAAAATGCTCAAGGCTTTTTCAAAGTGGGTGCTGAAACATACATTTCCTTTCTCTGACTCCAGGGGATGCTGGTAGCTACCCCAAACAGACAGGTATTTTGGGGTCAAATGGTATAGTGCCAGGCCCTTAGGATTTCCTGGCAAGCACACCGAACAGCTCACTTCTGGAAACTAATCATAATGATGATGATGATAGAGCAAGGGAGGCAGTGACAACATAGAAAGCTGCCGAGGAGTTGGATCCCAGGTAGCTCTAGACTTGGCAGAACTGACAGGTTCAGTTCACTAAGCTTTGGTATTGATAATGACGGGAGACTTCAGACAGTTTTAGAGATCTGTTTCTATTAAGCTATGCTGTGGTGTTTCTGCAACTTGAGAACAGGTTTACTGGGGCACACCATTTTTCTTTCAACATGGTAAGAATTCATGTGATGGTGTTACATTCCTCACAGATAATTACTCTGAGCATGCAATAAGCCAACTTCTTTGAAGTATTCGTTTCCATATTTTTTATGTATAGTGATATATGTTGGTATATGTATATGTAGGCAAACACATTCACCACCACTGCCTCCTTTTTGTTTCTTTGATTACTTAGGGCTTTGCAATCAAGCTAAGCAGAGTTTTAGGACCCTTGGGGCAGCATCTTTTAGTTCCGCGTCAGGCAGCGTTGCAAAACAATCAATCTCGCTCTTGCACTCACTTGGCGGAAGTGCCACGACATGGATTGTGCAGTGCTCTGCTCTTGCCATGAAGCCTGGGTGACAAAAGTTTTTACAAGAAGCTGACTGTATTTGAGGTTATGAATATGCAATGACTCTCATTAGTATTGAAGCTCCAGAGCAGGGGCTGACATCCCCCGCCACTTTGAGTTGCTGCAGAATCGGCTAATGAATTGTCTTGCTTTTTCACGCACACAGTCTGCTCTTGTGGCTTCTAAGTTCCAAGGGGAGTTGCCCAGTTTGAGTGTAGACCATCGACTGCAGAAATTAATTGTCAGGAACTGCTTGTGATTTTATGAAATAATATTTAAAGAGTGCTTAGATTGTCAAAACAGAAACTTTGTATGATAGTATTATAAATAGGAAGGTTTAGAAAGATCCACGAGAATGTATGTATGTTCATATATACACAACTGTATATAGATATGCTTCCATCCTAGATTACTGTACAGTAAGTACCTCTAAATATAGATGAAATCAAGTAATAGAAATCTGACATTTTGTTGATTTGTCTATTATCCTCCCATACAGAGCAAACAGATGATAGAAAATTCCCTAAATGAATAGGGTTGAAACACAAAGCTATTCCATCAACTCTTTACCATATTCTTTCTTTCTTTTTTATTCCTGGGTCTCTGCCAAACATTTTGCAGCTCATACACATACCATCTTTCATGAATATGTTACTGATAAGGATACGTTTCTAGCCACTGATTAAGATATCTGAGCTGATTTGCAGTGTGTAAGGAAATGCAGAAGTGCTCAGACATCATCTAGAATGGTCCCTTTTCAATAGGATAAATTAAATGTGTTTTTCTACGCTCCTCCTCCCTTCAAATTTCCTTTCAACTAAGAGGAAACTTCTGTGGCTTGCTGCAGATTGTAAAGAATGGGTTGAATTGAAGTGGATAATATATGCTAAGAGGTGAGGGGTATGTTACAAACTGTGCAAGTAAGGTAATGAACAAAGGTTAAGTTTTTATATTAAAGAGCTTGCTTTACATTCATGTAATGAAAAGGCATCCCTTGCACCGAAACAGGTGTGTGTTATTTTTGTAGAGCTTTGAGGAGAGTATTATTACAATTGTCACATATATTCAACCCCTCCCTGGAAATAAGGACAAAACTAAAATCCCAGGAACGTAAACATGTAAGAGTCCTAAATGTGAGCAAAGCTTAAAATAAATGCAGTCTGACAAAAGTGGCTCACGTATTGTGTCTCGGACACTGTCAGCTCTGTCGGTCTTAGTGCCTTCCCGTGACTGAGAACAAATCCGTGATAAGGTCTCAAGAAAAATGAAACCAGTCTAGGCCTTTGCAAAGACCATCAGTCCTTCCACAGAGCTGTGAAATTATTTGTTCATGTAATCTTGGCTTCCTGTTTAATGGACATAACACACCATCCACTCCTAGACCAAAGCCACCAAGGGCAATCTTTTTCTTGTGTTTTTTTTAATTGGACACAGAGAAGACCAATCATATCTGATCATGTAACAAGCTAGTGAATTATTCAATTTCATTCCTAAATTTGAGTTCTTATTGTATTTTACTGTCTCTATAGGATTTATTTTTTAATTTTTATTTTAATTGGAGGCTAATTACTTTACAATAATGTAGTGGTTTTGCCATACATTGACATGAATCAGCCATGGGTGTACATGTGTCCCCCATCCTGAACCCCCCCCACCTCCCTCCCCATCCCATCCCTCAGGGTCGTCCCAGTGCACCGGCCCTGAGCACCCTGTCTCATGCACTGAACCTGGACTGGAGATCTGTTTCACATATGATAATATACATGTTTCAATGCTATTCTCTCACATCATCTCACCCTCCCCTTCTCCCACGGAGTCCAAAAGACTGTTCTATACATCTGTGTCTCTTTTGCTGTCTCGCATATAGGGTCATCATTACCTTCTTTCTAAATTCCATATATATGTGTTAATATACTGTATTGGAGTTTTTCTTTCTGACTTACTTCACTCTGTATAATAGGCTCCAGTTTCATCCACCTCATTAGAACTGATTCAAATGNTTATTTTCTCCCATTCTGAAGGCTCTATAGGATTTAAAAAAAATCACTGTTTTAAGGTGCCTGTGTGTGTGTGTGTGTGTTGTGTTAGTCGCTCAGGCATGTCCAACTCTTTGCGACCCCATGGACTGTAGCTTGCCAGGCTCCTCTTTCCATGGAATTTTTCAGGTAAGAATACTGGAGTGGGTTGCCATTCCCTTCTCCAGGGGATCTTCCTGAGCCAGGGATTGAACCAATGTTCTCCTGCATTTCAGACAGATTCTTTAACGACTGAGCCACCAGGGAAGCCCCTTTAAGGTACCTGTGTAATCAGAAATAAAGTACCTTAAAAGTCACTCACAAGAGTTCTCTGATTTCTCTATGCTATTTTCCTAGGTAACCAAACATTTGAAAAGGTCTACTTGGTTATGTGAAAGTAAAGTATTCAACTCATGTGGAACACATTCAGATTTTAAAATATGAAAGTGGGATAAGTTTAGCTGCAGCATTTATATTTAAACATAAAATGTTCAAATTTAATGGAAATATTAACCAATATCTGTTTCTATGACTATGAGAATCACAGCATAAGTGAAAATAGTTTTAGTTGCATAGTTTTATAAAACTGTGGAGGTTTTACTTTGGCTTGTAATTAGCATCTGCATTCTAGACTTTATGATGGCCATGAAAACATTATTTATGGAAGGTTTATTCAAATATAATTTGGTGCTTATTGCTTTTACCATATATTGAAGTCTGATGACATAAAATGCAAGGAACTTGTGCTTTGAGCCCTTTTGTTGGTTGTTGTTCTAGTTGCTAAGTCATGTCCTGCTCTTAGGACATGCCACTACTCTGCGACCTACTGTGCAACCTCATAAACGGTAGCCCACCAGGCTCTGCTGTCCATGGCATTTCCCAGGTAAGAACACTGGAGTGGTTTCCTGCTTCCTTCTCCAGGGGATCTTCCCAGTCCTGCGTCTCCTGCATCGGCAGGCCGATTCTTTACCACTGAGCCACCAGGGAAGCCCTTCTGGGTCCTTACTGACAACCATGTATCACGCCTCCTTTTCTGTACACAACTACAATACAACAACAGACAAAACAATATATTATGTTGTTTCTATTCATATTATGCTAAGCTGTCCTGCTACATATCTGTAGTAGAATTTGGACCTTGCAAGGAACTGGCTAGTATACATACGGATTTAGGCAATTATCTGATTCCTTTTTCTAACTCTATAACTGTTTATATCCATAATTAATATTCTGACATGGTTTTGGGCAGTGGACCAAGAACTGGAGTATCCTAAGGCAGATGAAGCACCAGAGACAACACGATTTCTCTCTCTCTTTCTGTCTCTGCCTCACACACACTCACCTCATAGGGGAAGGAATGAAAGAGGAGTTCAGCCTTTGATGAGCTTACCTAAAATTTTGCCAGCAGAAGTTACTTTACTCTGAACATATATGTTCAAAACTACATTTCCCTATCCACCATATATTAACATTTATTGAGGACAGTCTGGGTGCTGGGAGTGGGGAGAGGTAGATTAGGAGAATCCTGGGGATCGGGAAGTTTACAGTGAAACTGGGGTGAAAGATAGCAGGGGGATATTGGGGATTCATTTATGGAGATTGGTATCAACAAATGTAGATTGATCTAGTACACATTCAGTGTTCCAGAGCTGCCATTGCATTGTGAGAACAGCCTCAGCAGGGACAGCTCTAGAGACTTCTTACGGAGACAAGTTCCTACTTGGATTTTGGAAGTTTCAGGATTCTATTAAAATATATTAAATTTGGTTTAGCTTTGGAACAGGACTTCAGTGTGTGTAAGTTTACTTTATATTGATTTCAGCGGTCATATTTTCTTTTGAAGTGATATAGTTTGAAGTTTAGAATTGTATTTACAATGTGCTTTTTGTCCCCACTTAAGCGTTATTTCCTTAAGTGGGCTTCCCTGGTAACTCAGTTGGTGAAGAATCCGCCTGCAATGCAGGAGACCCCAGTTCGATTCCTGGGTCAGGAAGATCTGCTGGAGAAGGGACAGGCTGCCCACTCCGGTATTCTTAGGCTTCTCTGGTGGCTCAGCTGGTAGTCTGCCTGCAATTCGGGAGACCTGGGCTTGATCCCTGGGTTGGGAAGATCTCCTGGAGAAGGGCTACCCACTCTTATAGAAGGGCTATATGCATGGACCGTGTAGTCTATGGGGTTGCAAAGAGTCGGACACAACTGAGCAACTTTCACTTTCCCTTTTTCCATAAGTAGGGAGGAAAAAAGCTTGTCTACCACAACCACCCTTTCCCCAACATCCTCCTGCTATCTTTCACACCAGTTTCACTGTGAACTTCCCAATCCCCAGGATTCTCCTAATCTACCTCTCCCTATTCCCAGCACCCAGAATGTCCTCAATAAATGTAAAAGGAAAAAAGTGAAAGTGGCTCAGTCGTGTCTGACTCTTTGTGACCCCATGTTGATGGAATTCTCCATGCCAGAATACTGGAGCAGGTAGCCTTTCTCTTCTCCAGGTTATCTTCCCAACCCAGGGATTGAACCTAGGTCTCCCACATTGCAGGCAGATTCTTTACCAGCTGAGCCACAAGAGAAGCCCCAGTGGTTTGTGAGTGGGAGCCCTCCCAAAGGAAAAAAGTGAGCTAATTAAAGCTATTAGCACAACAGCATTTTAAACAACTCTGTTCTTCCTTAACTCTCTCCCTAGTTGTCTTGCCTAGGTATATATATAAATGCTGACTCCATATTGATGCCAAGCAAATTATACAGAGTCCTAAGTCCTATATAGGATGTATTACCAGATGTAATCACTATATATTCTGGGAACTTTAATCCCTTCTTGCAGTCCCTAAAAATGATGTAATTATGTAATTACTAGCCGCAGGCCTGGCTCTCAGTTAAACTGTGAAGTTTTTACTATTACCCCTTCCTTTACTTCCACACTGTTCTTCTTACCTCTCCCCGCTCCCCACCTCCACTGGCCACTTTCCTCAGATGTTAATTATAAAGGCTTAAGTTTATAAAGGTCATTTGCTTTTTTAGTAGGAAACTCTGGGGTTTGATGTGTCTTGGTTTATGGCAAGGCACTCTGGCTTCTGCGCTTGGAACCCTGAGACCATATTGTGGATGAGGCCAGTGTATCCTGCTGGGAGATCAGTGGCCACCTGCAGGAGGGCAGAGGCTCTGGCTAATTGTCGGCTCACCCCCAGACGTGTGAGTGAGAGCATCTTGGGTCATCCTAGCAACCTGCTGATCCACCACTGACTGTGAACAGAGTCCGACAGTCACAGGGAAATCTGTTGTCATTCTGGACAGGATAACCCAACTGAGTTGCACAATTAGGAACTAAATAAAGTGTTTAGCCACTAGGTTTGGGGTGTTTTGTTACTAGCTAAGCTAATCCACAAAAGATCTGAGTAAAATGCAGGGAATATAGGAAGAAGTGACTGAAGATGATGTATAACATTTGTACTATCTTGTTAAGAAATTCTGACCTATTTTGTAGGAACAGGCTTCCCAAACTTCCTTGACTAGTGTACCTTTATCTTTTAAAAAAATATCTGCATACTCCCTGAGTTAGATTTTTATTTAAATTGTCCAATTTTTGTACCAAAAAACTTACTGTAAAAGTAAGCTTAATAATTCCTACTTCTAAGCCTATTAAAATATAGAAATATAAAAAAGCTGGTCTAATTGGTATCAAAAAATCATCTCATTTATTTTGAATGCTGCATTCTAGAATTTCTTGCTATAATCAATAGGAATCAGGATCATGAGGCAAAGAATCTGGAGTATGGAGAGGCTGCTGGCAAGGAGAAGTGAGGAGGCTACCTTGGAGGTCCAGACGGAATATGGCACATGATTGACAGACTAAGATGTATTCCTGAGGAAGAAGAGGAAATATCTGGAAACAGATTTGTTGTATGTGGGGTGGGAATGGGGAGTATGAAGTACCCACTAAGTAGATACTAATAAGAAAGAGAAGAAAAAAAAAAAAGGTAATAGATCTGATGTACTTACTGAGTTTGAATTAATGTGTCATTTGAAAACAGAGGCTTAAATTTCTTTTTTTGCACCACATGGCTTGTGGGATCTTAGTTCCCCAATCAGGGATTGAACCTGGACCACTACAGTGAAAGTGTTGAGTCCTAGCGACTCAACCCTAGAGAGTTCCCTTAAAATGTTACTTTTGAAATCACCAGCATGTAATATCACCAAGTGATAATATCATCAAGAGGAAGTGTTTAGTACAGAGATTTTCAGCTTATTTTCATTTGCTTTTTTCATCCCCATACTTTTAAGGGATATGATTTACTCCAGCTAGAAACAGTGATTCAAATAGGTGATGATTCTCAGGTGGGGGTAGAAAGTACTTGTTTCACTTGAAAAAAAATGCCCCCATATGATTTTGATATACTGCCCTTCACTCCTTGACTTAGAGTGAGCGATGAGGACAGCACTGTGGAAGAGGCATCAGTAGAAAGGACGGAGTGGGCTAAGAAGTCGACTCCTCTAGGAGGGAGAGAACTTTCACATATGTGAAGGGACTTGAAGACAAAGGGCCGTGGTACTGAATTCTGCAGAGAGGTTCAGGAGCATGATTCTTTAAGTAAAACTGGTTTATCGCAGTATAGTACTGGGCATAAAATAAGAACACAGTTAAATATTTGGGTGGATGATTTATGGAGAACTCTTTTGTGCTTGCAACACTTCACAGGCCTTAAATACCCAAGGCAGACAGGATGTGTAATAATTGTACTGCTTTGGGCTCCACAATCAGTGTGGGTTTTTAAAATTCTGTTTCTCTGTCCACGACCAGTGACTTAGAAATATGCTCGCTAGGGCACCATAGTCCTGATCTCAGCGCAAAGCGATGTTTGAGGCTGTTCGCCAGAACTAGTGTCAGTTGGCACTTGCTGTGGATACTCCACAGGTGGCCCTCCTGACCTCTGCCAGCGATGGCCCCCAGGAGTAAATTGCTTGTCTTAACGATGATTTGGGTTGATGGAGTGAATATACTTGCCTGGCAGAACAGGAATGCCATCAGCCTATCTGACTTGCACGTAGTCTTTACATTCATAAGAGCAGCTTCTTTTATTACTGCTGCTGTGCTTTAAAAACAACGTACATTTCTACCAGATCAGGACAGCAGAGTTTCCTCAGACCACGGTTTGGTGCCTGCGTGGGATGCTCAGAGCATGCTCAGCAGCATACACCGGCTTGACATCTGGCATCCATGCCTCCTGTGAGATTGGCTTCCCTCTGGCTGTGCCCTGAGAGCTTCCCCACTGGGCCCCTTCTGTCCCACAGTGTAAACATATCACAGGAAACGAACACGTACAGATTCAACCTTTCCGGAAGGAACGGAGAACCCTCTCCCAGCTGGAAACCAGGGTTTCAGTGTCCAGGAAGTCCGACCAGCCTTCAGGGTAGAGGCTGTTGTCTGTGACACCTTAGTCCCTTTCTCCTTCTAAGCTTCCCACATGCTTCCTATAGCTTTGTTCTAAGTCATCCAGCTGAGGAAAATTGCTTCAGGACATTTAAATTGTGAAATAAGGCTTGCTTGTCTTTTACTGTAGATTCATTAATGCCAATGGATTTAGTTATTTACAGTTGTAAATTTGGCACTGTTTTTTTTTAATCAAGGTAGGAGGCTCTCTAAAAGAATTGAAGCAGTCTAAAGCTAAACCTGTAAATAATTATTCACTTTGACTTGTTTTAATATGAAGATAAAAATATTAAATGGTTAAATATAATAGTTACATAATGAGGAAGTTAAGCCCCAAAGTAAAAGTAAGAGGAAAGAAACCTTTCCACATTTCCCTTACTGTCTTCCCAATTCCATTTTCACTCCAGTCTAATGAATGCATTTTACATAAAATTCACACACTCCTTTTGCTATCTTCCTACCACTGCAAATATCAGCGCAGCCCCTCTTTCAGATCCACTTCAAGGAAAGACAGACTTGAAAGACTCTCCCCCACGGTTTTGTCTGAAGTGGCTGCCATCCTGCGCACACACACACGGGATCCAGTTGCTGAGCTGGGGGAATCCCAGAGGCGAGTGGAGAGAGTGAGCAAGACCGACCGACCGACCACTTAGCCGAGTGAGTCAGGCGGGCCTGGGTGAGAGGATGTAGGTGAGCCATGAACTAATGTGAAAAATATGGGGTCGTCGTTCATTTGATGTGGGGGAAATCCTAAAGGTCCTTCATGTGCCAGGGCATTTGAATATTTGGCAAACAGCTGGCTGGGCTCCGGGAGAGTGCATCTTGATTCGCCTCGTCAGATGTTCAAAGATAAAATAAGGCAGCCAGCACGCCAGCACATAGCTCATAGCCTTGCAGTCGGATTTGAATGTAGATTTGAATTGTGATATCAATGTCATGGTGGCACATGCTTTGAGAAAGTACTCACAGAGAATAATTGAAAGATTCAGTGTGAAGCTTCTGAAAGTCGTAATTTAAAGTTCCAGAAGCCTCCATATTACTCTCACCATTAAAATTTAAAATGACAGCGGCCCAATTATGTATGGTTATTTTCTTAAATAAAATCATATTTCTACTCCGAGTGAAAGATTCATTGCTGCCCACTAATCTCTGTCGGGAGAGCCAGTCCCAGTCGCGCCCAGTGTCAGCGGCTCAGACGGCTCGCTTATCCTGGAGACAGTGAAGTGACTGGGGGCAGCCGAGCTGGAAGGCCTGTCTGTGGAGGAGCCCGACCTGCAGGAGGTTGATTTGCATGATAATCACCATCATGGATCCTCTCTGGTGCCAGCCTCCACACTTAACCAAATGCCAGTATAGCTTTAATAGCAGCCGAGAAGCCCAAGCAAGGGCCGTAAGTCCACACTTTACAAAACCGAACCTGAATGACCTAAAAAACTGCTAGTTAAGAGGTGGCAAGTGGTTGTAAAACTAAACCGCATTGAGGCCTGAAGTCTTGGAACAGAACTTAAAAGCCTAATAAAGGATATAACTTGGGGGACAGTTGAAAGATATGGAGCTTTCTGTCTTTTTTTTTTTTTTAACTCACAGAAAACTGTTTACCAGAGGAACCCGTCTGCTAGAAGGACTTCTATGGCCATGGAAACCAAGGCATGAAAATAGATCAGTGGAAATAACAGAAACTTTTCCAGTGCAGAAACTTGAGTCTTGATCAGTTAAAAATATGGGGCCAGACTTTTAGACTATGAATCTTTCCAGCAGTTTCTTTGGTCTGTTTGATTTTACTTTATACTGCACTGTGATTTGGGGAATATGGTGTAATAGTAGCCAGAATTGCAATGAAAAATTGCACAGGGCCAGTCAACCTTAAACCATTGTTATTTATCAAAACCTTTACTCTTTAGTGTTCCCAGGGACAGAGGAGCACGTGAATTACTAATATTATGATGCATGATGTTGAATGATATAGAGTATATATACATCAATAGTAATCTAAGCAATGTCTTATAAATAATAGATCACATAATTTCTCAAAAGTTTCACAGTGTGATAAAACATTTACAAGTAGGTCTTGGTTCTTCTGAGTTTTGTCATGAGTTTAGTACAGCCAGTCTTGTGGCAGTTTGCAAGTTTAATTGTGTTGTCTGGCTTTAGCCCGAGAATCTGTCCACCTTTTTTATAAAACTAATCCTGTGATATGAACTCAGCTTTCTTCCTTCTGCTCTGCCTCAGATCACCATGATTTTTACTCTTTCTCCTCTTTTATTTGTGTATCAGCAAGAGGTGTCCACCTTCCCTTGTGTAAATGGTCCCATCACTGTCTGTGCTTAGATTCTTGCTGTAAATTATTTTGACTCTTCTACTTTCCACATTTGACATCTTGTTAGCCTCATCCTTAATAACTCTTTCATAAATTCCCTACTCTGTTTTCTTTCTTTCAATTCTTCCAGACTTGTTTACTTTCTTCCTTCTGACTTCTCACCATTTACTCTTTAACCTCTTGCAAGGTAGATTGAGCCACCCCCAATACTACTTTCTCAGACAAAGATTATATTCTTTTTTGGCAGACCACTTTTCTCACTCTGCTCTAGAGGGAGAACGACTTACCTAATTAGTAAATTTGGAGTAAGTAAGTGGGCCAGCTCAGCTTCCTGCCACCCTCCTTCTAGCTGTAGAAGGGCCTGTCCACTGAGAGCCACGTTCTCCTGAACCCTGGCCCAGCACTGGCTTGGCTTGTGGCGATGGCTCAGTTTAGACAGCTAGGCCCGGTTTGGCTTTCACCCTAAGCTACTTCCTTCACCCTGCTTTAGTCAGTAATAAAGGTTGTATTCAAGCCTCTCATCTAAAATTTTGTGCTACTTCTAAACTTGTTTGGAATGCAGGAGAGGAAGGGTATCTCAATTTTGGGGAATTGCTTAGAAATCTAGTACTTTGGTCTTGGACTTCCAAGTCTCCAGAACTATGACAAATAAGTGTTGTTTCTGTCACCCAGGTCATGATATTTTGTTACAGCAGCCTGAACTGACTTATTCTTCCTGATGTTTCTATGCATGCACAAATGTGTGTATATGTAAGTATCTAAAATGTTTTTACTTAATCCAACAACATATTAAAAAAATTATACACCATGACCAAGTGGGCTTTATCCCAGGAATGCAAGGATTCTTTAATATCTGCAAATCAATCACACACCATGACCAAGTGGGCTTGATCCCAGGAATGCAAGGATTCTTTAATATCTGCAAATCAATCAATGTAATACACCACATTAACAAATTGAAAGATAAAAACCATATGATTATCTCAATAGATGCAGAAAAAGCCTTTGACAAAATTCAACATCCATTTATGATTAAAACTCTCCAGAAAGCAGGAATAGAAGGAA